CCTGCTGGCCCCATAAAATGGTATTAACGTTCATTACACCTCCAGCAGCAATGCTTTCCTCGGCCATGGCAGTGGTTACAGGTGGAGCTGGATCTTGAATGCACCTGAGCCTCCGCCTCCGTGTAACTCTGCAGCGGCAGGGGAAGAGCCGCCATCTTTTTTTTTTTAAGAGATTTTTTGCTCTAGGATGTGTGCACTCACCAGAGAGACAGAGACAGAAAATGAGAAATTAACCCCTAGGAGGGATGCCCACACTGCAGTCCCTTCTCCATTCTCTCGGGATTTGGGGCACACACACACACACACACACACACACGTGCCTGGCGTGAGTTTGAAGCCACCAGGTCTGGGATTCAAACCATGGTCAACCATGTGGGAGTCCAGCAACATAACCAGTACGCCATCTGCTGGTTCCTAGCTCATGGCCATCTTAAAAGAAACTTTAAAAATATAAAGAAGTCCATCTTTCTTCTTTTTTTTTTTAATTTTGCCACAGGGTGATTATGCTCCCGAGAGAGAGAGGGAGAGAGAGAGAGAAAGCACCCCCTGGGGGAATGGCCAGGCCCTTCTCCACTTCTCCGTCCCGTGAGGACTCCACGTGTGCATGTGCCTGCCATGTTTTTCAGGCTGTCGGCCAAGCTCAAACTGTGGGATCCCAGCTGCCGCAACCACCAGGACGGAGCTGGCACGAAGCGTCCTGCTCTCTAAGAATGGGAAATGAAAGTGAGAAAGGGGTGGCTGTGCCCAGAGGTGACATGTTTGTTTTTCAATGACCAGAAACAGATGGCAAAGCAAGTAGGTCACCCAACTTGACCACGGATGAAAACAGGGGTCACCTGGGATGGGGCTGGCCAGAAGTGAGTCATTTGACTTGTAAATCAGAGTGGGAGCCAGAGGTAGCCACAGAAAAACTCTGCAGAAATCGAGGCAATAGTTCCTGAGTAGGGAGGACAGGAAGGAGCCTGAGGCCACTGACAGGGCGTCCAGGTGGGCGTGACTCACAGGCAACTGGCCTTGAGGCCTGCAGGGGGTCCATGCCAAGAGAAACGTGGGCGCCTTCTCTCTAGTCATGATAGTTTACCCCGAGGGCTGGACTGAGTTGCCAAGGAAAAGATGTAGAGCGAGAAAGAAAAGGAGACAGCTCAGACCAACAGGTGGCATGGAGGTGAAGGTGGCTGGATCCCAACTGAGGTTCTGGTCCCAAACTCGGTGGCTTAAAACATGCCAGACACATTGTACCCAAAATACCAAGAGGAGAATACAGGAGAAGGGATTGTGGTGTGTCCATCCCCCTAGGGGTGATTTCTCACTCTCTCTCTTCCCTCTGGTAAACATACACACCCTATAGCAAAAAAGAAAAGAGAGAGAGAGACAGCTAACGTCAGAACGTAAGGAGGCCGGAGACTAAGAAAGCATTGGACTTGGCAGTTAAGAGAGTATGGGGTATGGGTGATCTTTTTTTAATGTTTGTTTTTCTTCCCAGAGAGGCAGAGGAACGGGCATCCCCAGCAGGATCTTCATGCTGCAGTCCGCCCCAGCTTCAGCAGCCCCAGGTCATGGGCACGCGTGTATCGGCATGTTTAGGGAGAGCTCCGGACACGAACCAGAAGCCCTCCCTAAACATGCTGGTACACGTGTGCCCATGACCTGGGGCTTCCCATGTGGGTCAGCCTCAGAGCACGGCATTTGCATGCTGGGAACTGTCCAGCCCGGGGGCGGGGGGGTGTTGAGTGCAATCGCAAACATCCCAGGGATGGAAACTACCAAGGACAGGAGCCTGGAAGAGAAGGCAGAGGGGACAGGGCTTCTCCAGTGAGCTGGGAGAGGGGAGGGGAGGTCATGTGACAGAGAAGTCCCTGGGCAGAGGGAGTAGCTGGTGGAAGAGGGCTTTGCAGGGGCTGGGAGCAGCCCGGGGGCAGGGCATGGCTCAGCAAGGAGGAGGGACATGTGGGCCTCGGAGACAGGGAGGAGGACACAGACCCTGTGATTTTTGAGCGAGGAAGGAGTGAGGCTTTGGGAGCCCGGGAGCCCAAAGTAGACGGCCTCAGTCACCCCCATAAAGCAGGAGGTGGAGCCTCACCTGAGGGGGTAGGGGGCTTGGTCCGGGGGCTTGAAGCTTGAGGTTTGGAACTGTTACCGTGGGAAATGCTAGGAGATCCACGTCAGGCAGTAAAGAAAATAAAGGTGGCGTGGAGGTTAAGGCACTGGATGCCCACGTGGCTGAACATGCAATTTGAGTCCCGGCCTGGCAGTTTGAAAATCCCTCTGGGCGCACACGCATGCATGCTCAAAAATCCCAAGAGGAGAATGGAGAAGGGATTGTGGTGTGGCCACCCACCCTGGGAGCCACTTTCTCACTTTCCCTCTCTCTCTCTGTCTCTCCCTCTCGTGTCTCTCTCTCTCTGGCAAATGCACATGCCCTAATAGCTAAAAACTAAAAACTAAACAAACAAAATCCGTGATGCTGCTGGGCCCCAGGAAAAGGAGCCACTGGTTTGTTAGGGGACCTGTCACTAATGAAAAGAAAACTTCAGGCGCCTTAGCAGCTTTGCCCAGGGTAGAGATGGGGGTGCTGGTCATGGTCCAGGACTGGGGTTGCAGAGGTCAGAGCAGGGAATGGTGGGAGGGAGAGGGTGAGGAAGGCCAGGGCAGCATGAGCTTGGTGGAGCCAGCCGACGGTGCCAGGAAGGCAGGTGAGGCCAGTGGAGGGCCCCGCGGGGAGGGGAGGGCAGAGAGGCTCAGGCGGGACAGCGTGTGGAAAATCTGGAATTCAGGGCAGACAGGAATTTCACAGCCCAGACCCTGAGAAAGGAGTCATTGTGATGAACTGAGCTAGACTTGCGGTGGCATGGATTAGAGTTGGGTTAAAACCTGGAGTTAGGGGGCCAGCAGTTGGCATGACAGTTAAGGCACTAGATGCCCACATGGCTGGCCACGGTTCGAATCCCAGCTTGAAAATCATGCTACGTGTGTGTGTGTGTGTGTGTGTGTGTGTGTGTGCGTGCGTGCGCGCTCGCGCACCCAAAACCCTAGGAGGAGGAGGGAGTGTGACATGGTCATGCCCCAGGAGGTGATTTCTCACATTCCCTCTCACTCTCTCTCTTGTGTGCACACACACCCTATGGCAAAAACCTAAAACAAAAAAAGAACCCTGGAGTTAGGCCCGGCTGTGGTGGCGTGGGTGGCAGGGCACCTCTACACCAGGTGGGGCTGCACGGCCACCCAGGTCTGGGTCTCAGGCCAACCTGCACAGGCCAGGCGCAGCAGCGTGCACCTGCAGTCCTGGCTGGCATAGGCCAGGGCAGAGGCCAGCAGCAGTGAGACCCTGTCAAAAATACCCATCCAGGGACCACCAGGTGGCGTGGTAGCTAAGGTGCTGGTCACTCCCACATGGCCAACCATGGTTCAAG